CCTTTATTTTTTGTGTTATGTACTATATTGGTTTTTACTTTGTGGATACCATGAGGCTTACATGAAACATAAGTCTCTTTTAAGTTAATAAGAACTTAAGTTCAAGTGCATTCTAAAGTCATATTTTAACTCTCTCCTCCTATATATACTTTTTGGGTTGTCACAAATTATTGTAGTTATTTTTACTATTTTTGTCTTTTAACGTACATACTAGATTTATGTGATTAACCCACAACCATTACATTAGGTTATTCTGAATTTATATATTTACCTTTACCATTGAGATTTACACTTTCACCTTTTTGTTATTAATTAGTACTCTTTTGTTTCAGCTCTTAACATTTCTTGTAAAGTTAGTCTAGTAGTGATGAACTCCTTTAGTCCTTCTGTGTCTGGAAGAGTCTTTCCCTTTCAATTTTGAAAGACAGCTCTGTCAGGCAGAGTATTCTTGGTTGGCAGGTTTTTATTCTTTCAGTACTTTAACATATTGTGCAACTTTTCTGGCTTGCAAAGTTTCCGCTGAAAAATCTGCTGATAAGTCATATGTGCTTGTGTGGAATCTCTTGTATTTAACAAGTTTTCTTTTGCTGCTTGTAACATTCTCTCCTTGTCGTTGACTTTTGGCAATTTAATAAATAATGTGTCTCAGTGTAGGTTTCTTTCAGTTCATCTTATTTGGAACTCTCTGGCTTCCTGGATCTTGATGTCTTTTTCCTTCTCTAGGTCAGGGAAGCTTTCAGCCATTAATTCTTAAAGTAAGTTTTCTGCCCCTTTCTCTCTCTCTCCTCCTTTGGTAACTGTATAATGCAAATATTGGTCTGCTTGATATTGTAATCTTTCATTTCTTTTCTTGCTATGATTAGATGAATTCCACTTCCCTCTCTTCGAGTTTGCTAATCTTCTGTATCATCTAGTCTGCTATTGTATTCTTAAACTCTGTGATTTGTTTACTTATATTTTCTGTTGCTTTATTGAAATTCTCACTTTGTTCATGCATTGTTCTCCTGACCTCGTGCGCATCTTTGACAATTAATTTGAATTCTTTATCAGGTAAATCACTTCCTTCCATTTCATTAAGCTAGTTTTATGAGGTTTTATCTTGTTATTTCATCTGAAACATATTCCTTTTTTCTTCATTTTCCTTGATTCTGTGTTGGCATGTAAGCATTAGATAAAAGTCACCTCTCCCAGTCTTGACATGGTCACCTGTAAGGAATGAACCTTTTCAATCCTGCCCTAGCTCTTGGTTGTCTCCCAAACCTTTGTGATTGTCTTAATAATAGTCTTCTTTGTTCTTGTGGCTCAGTAGCTGGAGGTATACCAAGCCCTGTCAGTGTCCCAAATGGGACAATCTAAGCCCCTAAATGCAGGCTGAATGAAAGCTCAGGTCACAGCTATGTCAGCCTCTCCTACCCCTTTCAATGTAGGTTTTTTTTCTCATTCACCTGATGTGTAGGTGTCGCTTGGCTAGATTCTCTAGAGGGAATTGTTCTATATGTAGCTATAGATTCGCTGTGGGAGAAGGTAATTCAGGTGCCTCCTATGTTGCCGTCCTGAACCAGAATCTATCTTCACTGTTTCTGTGGGTCAGTAGTGTAAGCCTGGTTTGGCTGAGTCTTCTGTTCAGGGTCTCACAAGGCTGCAGTTGGTTGGAGCTGCAGTCTCATCTGAGGTTGTCCTCAGCTTGTTTGTTGGCAGAATTCTAGTCTTTATGGGCAGAGAAATGAAGCCCTGAGTTCCTACGGGCAGCCCTCGGTTTCCTGATAACGCGGTGTTCCCTAAAACACAGAGCTGTGCTGTTTCAAGTCCAGCATAAAAGAGTCTCTTCCAAGCCAGTGAAGTTCAAGGAATGAATGGAGCTTAGATGCAGATTTGGGGGCGATCCCTTTTCCAGGACATTCCTCACATTTCAGTAGTTCTGGCAGCCTCAGACTCTGTTCTCGTCAAGCTAGTGAGACTGTGACTTCACTCCAAGTCCTAACCATTCCATGCCTCATGGACTTGCCCTCAGGTGAAAAGCTATATAAAGATCTTACCCAGTGGAATTCTTTTCTTTCAAGAATTGACATCTAATTTCTACCTGCTTTTAGTCACTCTGGATGGTTATAAACGGAGAGGATATTACTTGTGGGAGGATTAATTTGCAACTCTGCCACTTCCAAAAGTAGAACTTCGTTTGTTTTTAATAATCCTACTTAGACTCTGGAATCTGTTCCTGCATTAAAGTAGAGCCTTAGACCATGGTATCATAGCTATTGCAGATATGCCTCAGTGAGTTGATTATGCACAACCTTTTGCAAAAGTCGCTATAAGTATCTTCTTATACAATGACTATTGGTTGAAGCTATTGTTCAGAATCCTTTTAGACAAGAAACCTTTAACAGTCATTTAGTTTCCAGAAAGTTGTTTCTCTACTTTGCATTTCCTCATTCTTCCCAATAAGGTGGCTGTTATCCTCCTCACTTTATAGTAGAGGTTCGACAGCTTGCTCACAGTTTTAGTCAGTTGCAAGGCCAAGACTGAAACTCCACGCCGCTTACAAACTGAAGATTTCTAGTGATCCTGCTCTACAATCCAGAAATGAGCAAAAAATTCTTTGTATGCTTGGCTTTATTACTGAATGCCGGTTGTTACTTGAAACCCTTCTAAAGCCATGTGGGTTTTTTTTTTTTTTTTTCGTCCCTTCTAGATAATGTTCCTGAGAAGACAGCATTTTCCACAGGAAGCTGGGTTTCTATCCCTGTGGATTTAGAGATGGTTCTTCTTGGATACAGAAGAAAAAGCAAAGGTGACCTTTCCAGGTTGCCAACTTTCAACTTCTGTATAAGTGACAAAATGGTAACATATACCAGTGCTGTTCATTACACTTTGTATATTTCCTCTTCAAAGTCTTACATATTATATGCTGTGCACTGTTAATAGTAACCTATAACATAATTGTAAATATTCATCTTTTTTGATAACTTTTATATTTTGAAATATCTCCTTTAAAATAAAATTAACTAGATATTTGTAATGTTTTTTCTGGATTTGGACACAGGAAGGTAGCTTTGAAGCACAGTGTGTGTCTGGGCAACACAGATGTTAACAGTGTTAAAAGTCTGAAATGAGGAGCTTACACAAATCAAGGCTCTTCAGCAGAATCAGCCCTAGAATAAAAACATCAAAAATCACTAAAATCATATATCTGAAAGAATGAAACTACGAACTTATAGTCCTTATATAGTCCTGAGTCATTACACTGCATACTATGGAATTCCTGTCACAAAATTAAATCATTTGACTTTCCTTGAAGACATACAGTATTCCCCATATCACACACATCTCACACACAACATACTTTTCCCACACCAGTACATGCTTCCTTGCCATACAAGGCCAATGTCACCAAAGTCTGAGCAGCTGAGAAATGAGTAATGTGGCCTAACTTTGAATGTATCAGATGACACAATTTTATAGTATGGCCAGCAGCAGCATCCTGAGCACTGCAGAGGTACCTACAAGCCTAGGTTAGACTCTTAAAGTGCCAATCATGTTTCACAGCGTCTAAGTATCCACATGCATGATACCTCCAGGTTTATGATCTGTTCTTTCCTCCCAAAGGCTAGCTACAGAACAGGTGATATAATACAAACCATTAGCATTAAACCTACCCATAGTCCCCCTGTTCTTTTGTAATCACTATAAGGATGATATAAGGATTTAGGAATAAGAGCTGCAGGTACTTGGGATCTGCAAGGGTAAGTACATTATATTTGGGGAGTTATAGGCCTTAGACATTTGCTCATGCGCCTAATTGTACTAGAACTTATTTAGGAAGATACTTTGTTAATGAACTGCTGGAATTTAACAAGATGCAGGATATAGTAATTTGTTATAATTACAATGGCCAAAATTCAGTGGGTCTCAAAAAAAGCAAGTATGCAGTTTTATGCTGCAAAGATAATGTGTGGCTCCAATAAGGATCTATTGGTCACTCCAATAAAGATTCAGTCCTAATACAGACCCTTTAGACTCACATCCAAACTGCTATGGAACCACCAACTCCTAGTCAGTATTAACCTCAGCCACACACCTCATGGTCATGAGGGCTTCAAAGAGAAATCAAACAGACCCATGTTGTCCTCATTTTAAAGAGCATATTTACAATCTCTAATTATAAAAGAAATTTATCTTATACACAAATTATGCCAATTATGTATGTAGAGCATTTATAATTAAAATCATAATGAACAAGTACAGGCCACTAATTGTTCTGGCTGCAAGGATATTATAGTCCCTTTCCTGGGGAGTACAGAGCAAGTAGGCAGGCATGACTTGCATATCCAAAAGCAATCGAAATGGAAGAAAATGCATAAGAAACTCATGCTCACCCCACTGGTGAGGTGAGGCAGTCGTCAATCAAGAAAATCTTCACTGAAGCAGCAGTTTCAAGCGCGAACTTTAACAAAGAGAGGCATGGCTCACTAGGCAAGGGCTGAAGGCAATAAAGTTAATCTAAATGAAAGACATTTTTCACATGGTAAATACACTTTAAACGTCCTAAAAACTTTGTCTCACCTCCCAAACAAGATTCTCAGTTCCTTAAAAGCAGGGAATAGTACCCTGCTTTTATATTCCTTTTAGCACATACCTCTGAGCATTTACTAACAAAATTAAAAAATAGCTAGACACCTAAATTCCAGGCTAGTTTCAAAGCCTCAGGGTCACTCAACAAGTACGGTTACAATCTAAAGTTCCAGTAGGGTTTGTAGAATCTGTCGCAGGACAGAACTGGATCTCCCAGGGACAAAGTAAATAAAAGTGTTCATTTTGTCCCAAGCTAGAGTGAGACTAAGATTCTGACCTAGCAGAGGCTTGAGGCTCTGGAAGGATAAGAATGGTTTGTACCTTTTCACATACCCTCTGGTAATAACAAAGAGACCTCATCCCGAAATTCTATTCACCGCACTCACAGCCTTCACAGCTGTAATGAAGATGGAAATTAAGAGTTCTTACTCTTCAAGAGCCAAAGTTATATTTCACGGTTTTTCATCCAGTATTCGCATATTAAAAAGGAAAGTTACATACCAACATAATACTCTGCTGTAAAAGATGACGACCTTAAGATTTTGTACATGTATCATGTGGAACATTTTTATTCCTAATTAAATTGTGCAAGATATTTGACAATGTATAAAGAATATCCAGTTCTAGGTGATGACTGTTTTGTATTATGATTTATTTACAAAATTTCACCAATAGTAACTACCTTAAAAAAATCAGCATTGGTCCGATAAAGGCCATTAGGATAAACTGTAAAGCTTACAAAAGTTGCCTTAGTACCACTGTTCCAGGTATATTATTGTTCAAAGAAAATCTGATTCCAAAGCCCATACGTAGTTTTTAGTTCTGGTTATACAGTCATTCTGAAGCACAATCTAATTAGATTGACATAGGACAGTGGAGGACCCAAGCAGTCCTGTCGACCTCTATAAGAGGTGTACATCAGCCTACTGGTTACATCCTTCTAGCTGTACCACCATTTATAATGGGACCACTCGGTCGCCCCATTATCCTAAAATATGGTTCCTTTGGGGAAAAACATTCTCTAGACCAGCTAGACTGGTCAGCAGGGTGAGTAAAAAGAGACTGACAGTAGTGAAAAATGGTTTCATTTCTTTGAACTTTTTCCTTTTCCTTTTCTGGATTCCTTATCTTTCTCTGATTTTGAAGACTTTGAAGATTTTGTCTTTTTCTGTTGGGGAGGGAAAAATGCACAAAACAGTTAATAGCTGTGTTTATAAGTAAATGAAGTAAATTCATTTCTGCAATAAATCAATTATTTACCTATAACTTAAGAAGAAAGGTTGCAAGCATCTAGATCCTGAACTACTGCTACCCTCAATGAGCTTACTTTCAAGAAATAACTGGGCTAGCTGTAGCCTTTAAAAGATAGCAGTAAAAGCAGAAAAGCTATTTAGAATCTAGAACCGAGATATATTCCTCCTATGTATGCAGTTTCTTGGATTTAGAACATACATATATTTGGGAAAGACAAAATAAACAAGGAATAATTTACAAATAGAGTAATGTTTTCATGATGAATTTCCTTTCAGTTGCAGATTAGAGAGTCTAAACACATGCAGTTTGAGAAGAAAGAGGGAAGGAGGCAATCTATGTCTACACAAGACTAGAAAAAGCTATACTGGTGAAGGCCACTATTCCTACCCCTACATATACAAAACAGAAATAAGGGGCAAGAATGACACACTCACGATAGAGGGTGATACAGACTACATTGCCAGGCCTCAGCCAATGGCAAATGGTGAGCTGATGCCATCAATGATTTTAATATCAAGAGCCAAGGATGTTTTGCTCTGAGAAACTTCTATAGGCAGTTCAATGGCTATAGCAAAACACAAATAACAGAAGGGAGAAATGGTTTCACTGAAAATGATTATGCTGTGAAAATGTGTATCTATGGGTAAAACACACACCAATGACCAAATAAAAATTGTACTTTTTCTAACAGTACATGCCATCAATATGATGGCCTATTTTCTTGCTATTTGGCTCTTCCACTATTATAAGAAGCTGATTGTTTATAAAAATAAAATCCATACCTTCTCAACTTCAACTGTGATGAACAAAAAAACTTAAAAGTATTTTCACAGCTTACTCAGCTATTTGCTAAACAGGGCCTGAGTAATTTCTGAAGGCAAGTTATACACAAGAAAAGATAAACTATTTTGAGGGAGTATCATAGCTTCTTGCTGTAGCTTAAGATACTACCTTGATCATAGCATCAGTTTCCGTAGTGTCTTGATCTTTCTCATCAGACTGAGAGTCATCTTCATTTAACTCTTCGTTATACTCAGAATCCAGTGCTGGGCCTGTGCTGTGTCTTGATGTCTTTACTGCCTGAAGTGAATACGGAGTAAGGTGGATTTCCTTATTGTAAGCTCTTGTAAAGGCAGCTTTCACCTAAAGGAAAGAAACAGAGGGAGTTTTTTAAAAAGCTAAAAGAACCCTCTGAACTCTGTAGGTCTAAAGGCTTTTTGAGAGATCTGGGAAGCCCCTTGAAATTGTTCACAAAATATTTATGCATATACGTGTTAAGTGTATATATATATATATATGCATTTTTCTGTGAAGTTCCATATTTTTTATGATATTCTAACAGAGCCCATGACTAAATAAATAATCAGTGTTTGGAAACTTTGGCATTTTTACTTATTGAGTGCTCTCTGCAGTTCTACAAATGAATAAGCAGTTAGTGAATCAATAAATCAAAAAGGCTCACAATAAGGTACAAGTTAAAGTTGGCCTTTAATTACCCACAAAATACATAAATTGCCTTTACAATAATAATAGTGGTTACTTCGACATACTAAGAAACTTGAAAACCCTTAACATCGAGCTTCTAGTTGCAGAATTAATCCATGAATTCCAACTATGGATGTCTCGTGAGAGAATTTACCCATAACCACAGGTCAAAATTCTATAGAAGGCAAGCCACAGAGAATGTCTTCTAAAACAGCATCAAATAAACAAGCTCAAGAGTGAGGTATTAGATACTACATATTCATTTATGTCACTTCGTTCATACTCATTATATAAAGAAAGTAGGGGATACGTTATTACATAATAGATTGTCCAACTGGAATAAATGCTAAATTCACAGATTAGGCAGTCTAAGTATAAAAATCCTCAGCCAGTAAACACTTCTTTTTCTAATGCATTACGTCCACACCTCACTTTAACTTCCCCAGTCTCATCCACCCACCTTTACTTATAAGAAATACATTTAAATTTTTGTCCTCAGACTTCATGTCTTACTTTTCCACTCAACATAAAGATAAACATACAAATTGCAAAGTCAAATCCAGAAGTCTTTTCTTAATATTGTACTCAAATAGTATATTTGGAAAGTATAGGCCATAAAGAAGCACTGAAGAAAAAACAATTAAACCTTTTAAAGCATGTCAAACACCTCTGAGGGACTCCTGGTACAAACCTGGTAATTACAAAGTGATGGAGAACCAGTGCATCACACAACTTACCTTGGGATCCAGCTTGGAGAAGGGGCTAGGTTTGCCTCCCCAGCTGCTAATTTCCATGATATTCTCAAAGTCTTCTTTCATCAAATAATATGCGTCCATAAGAGCAACAACATCCTGTACTCCTTCTACCCCTTGTGAGATCAAGGGCTGAGTCTTTTTCTTTATCATAGCATCAATTTCCAATCTTCCTTTCTCGTCAGATTGAGAGTCAGCTTTATTTAACTCTTCGTTGTATTCAGAATCCAGTGCTGGGCCTATGAATCCAGTCTGGACATCTTTACTGCCTGAAGTGAGTATGGAATAAGGTGGACTTCCCTGTTGTAAGCTCTTGTAAAGCCTGCTTTCACTTTGGGATCCTGCTTGGAGAAGGGGTTAAGTTTGCCTCTCCAGCTGCTAATTTCCATGATATTCTCAAAGTCTTCTTTCATCAAATAATATGCGTCCATAAGAGCAACAACATCCTGTACTCCTTCTACCCCTTGTGAGATCAAGGGCTGTACAAGTACATCCCTTATATGTGACAGATAATCCATATTGATAGTCCTTTTGCTGGAGTAAGTTCTTAAACCAAAACAAGAGATATACCTGAAGTCAATGGCAAACTACCGCCAACTCAAATCATAGTGTGAGTAACACTGAGTGAATCAGATGGAGCACAATCAGTTTTAATAATGCTCAGTGGAATGCCTACTATTTCACAGTCTGGTGAATGGAAAGCCTAGCGTTGCCCGACCAGGATAATGGACACACACCAACGTGCTCCAAGAGAATCTTCTACTTACCCAGATCAGAGAATGAAAAACACAAATGTAGGTTCTGCATCCATCCTCCTCCTAAGGCCCAGCAACAATAGTGTTTCTGTGCTCATAATTCTTAACAGCCAAAGATTACTCACGTCAAGTTACAAACAGTAAAAGCATCTGTAAAATGCAGTGAGATTTCCTACTTCAGGTGCCACGGCTACTTTCTACACGAGGGTCTATACCGTCTTTTGGTCTCTGATTATGACATACAAATATGAATGCTTCCCTCATATTTCCTAATACTGTTACTCTGAAATTTTTAGTTCTAGAGCAGGGTTTTCCCCAAATCTAAGAAAACTGCAGAGAATGTTCCTGAAGAATCACAAGATGGTCCACACTGGCCAGGGGCAAACCTAGGAGAACAGTCTTTGATCTGCTGAGAACTAGCATGTTCTCGTGAAATGACTTTTCTTTCTCCTTAAACGCTGTCACTTAAAGACAAAATTGCCAAACGAGACAATATTTGCAATGCTACCACCTTAAATCTTTCCAACTCAGGTGCTTCCATCTTCAAACCATGCAATTCCGTGTACATGTACTTCAAACAAGACTCAAAAGCTGTTGGTTTTAGAACCCACATTAAAATTAGAAATGGAAAGTCCCTTTAAGTTACCTGTGGGTCCCGTTCCTGCCATCAGCTAGCTGAATGTCTGAATCATAACCCACAATGTTCTCCTGATCAGAAATCTAGAACTTTGCCCCATAATTGTTTTATTACCTAGACAAAGAGTTCGAAAATCACTCCTATTTTAAATTCATCCATTTCCTCTAGATTCTGTCTCCCATAGTCAAGAATACTAGCACCTGAAGACAAGTATGAGCCCATAAGCCACAGTGCCTGACAATCATGAAACCTTTTCCAAAATTATCCTCTTCTAATTTGTCACTTAGCTTTACCTTCTAGTAGAATCACAGAACATTAAATCTAGAAGAGTCTAAAGGTATCATCTAATTTACCTAAATAAAGGTTAAGATTTAACCTCAGAAATCTTATAATTCCCCTAAAATTGTTTTCTGCATTAGTGCATTTGGGGAGGAATAAAGATCAAAGTTTTCAGATTCTCAAAGGCATGTTATGACCAAAAAACGGTTAACTAATAAAAATCGTACTTCCACTTTAAAAAATAAACTAAGGACTATAAAAATTCGGTGACAATTAGGGTTTAAAAGTAGGAACATCTTAGTTTACTTTAAAAATTGTGAACCTCACTATAGATGTCCTTGATAATGACAGTGTCCTGTATATGATTCATTAAGAAACATTTACTGAGCGAGTTTATGTGCTCGATGAGTAAGCCTCAGTTCCTACCACCAGAAATGTTGTCTAGTGGGAGAAGGGGGCAGACATACAAAAGGACAGCCATAAAACATGGAAGTTCAGTGCTCAAATCTATAGGAGTATAGCAGGAACATCAAAGAGGGAGAGCCCTGGGGCAGAGTGATGCACATGCTCTAAAAAGCAGTGGGCAGAGGGCAGGAAAAGAGCTGAGAGACAGGTCATCAGCTTGACCAGTACAAAGAAAACAGTGGGGAAAAGCAGCCTTTTCCAGCTTCCAAAGGCTGCCTACATCCCTTAGCTCCTGGTGCCTTTTACTATCTTCAAAGCTGGCAGTGTAGCATCTTCAAATCTCTGACACTGCTGCCTCTTTTTTTTTTTTTTTTTTAATAAAGCCCCTTATAATTACATTAAGCCCACCCAGCTAATCCAAGATAATCTTCCCATCTCAAGATGGGAATAAATTTGTGTTGTTTTAAGCCATTAAATTTTTGTAATTTGTTACAGCGGCAACAGAAAACTAATACGAGGGTGATGATAAAAAACTCATGCCATAAGCTAGGAAGAGGAAACATAGTAAGAAGTAGAATTTATAGGAACAGAAGAAAAGAACTCAGTTCAGCTTTAAGCAAAAGTTAAGAGTGGACCAAATATTAATATTCCCTCCAGGGACCAGAAGGGGAAATAAGATTGCTTAAGTAGCTCTTCATGGGTAAAAATAAATTCCTAAAGTTGACTCAATATTTGTGTGGATGCACACATTTCTGAGTTTGTAAGCTTTTAATGAAATTGTACCAAATAACAAGAATCTTTGAATTTCCTTAAATTTCTCCAAGCATATTGTTTTTCAATCATCTGAGCGTCCACCTCCTATTATAAACTAACCTATACCCCTATCTCAAACAACTGGGTCAGTTTACTACTAGGATAGGTAAAACTAGTTTATTTATTTAAATAGCTCCCTTTTCTGATTAAATTATTCCGAAGCTGAGGTATTAAATATGCCTACTAGTAATATGAATAGTCACAGTAACAATAATAGCCAGCCCTACCTTAGTTTTTTATAGTTTTAAAATTTACCTTAAAGCTATGACACTCTAACATTTGGCTTTACTCTCCAAAGTAACTTTTTAAGTGATAAAACAAGTGTTATAATGATTATGGATAATAAAACTCAGGCTCGCAAAATAAAAAGAACTTATTCAGGATCATTTATCTAGTTAGCAATAAAATAAAAACTAAAATATAAATCTTTTGACTCATGCTATACTGGAGAAAGGCTAAATAAACTATACTGAGAAAATGCCAGAACTGGAGTAATACCACTTACCTGAGACTCATATGCAATGCCAGGTCCTGAATAATCCGATCGTGTTTGCCTGTAGATGAGTGCTTACCCAACCAGCTCGGGAAGCTGGGAAACTGAGTCATGTAACCCCTCATTAACTCTCCTGGAAGAACACTGGCATAAATGGCCTGAAAAAAAAACAAATTGTAGCTCACGATTTAAATTCAGTACAAAGTTGATTCCCTAGCAGCTAAGTATAAAAATCCTCAGCCAGTCTCTGGAAAATGAAGCAACACTGTCCCACGTACCTAACAGTCTCTGGAAAATGAAGCAACACTGTCCCACGTACCTAACTTAACTCCAAGGAGTCTCTGGAAAATGAAGCAACACCGTCCCACGTACCTAACCTAACTCCAGGGCATCTGGGCCCTTTCCTGCTGTCTCTGATCTTTGGTATGGGAAACTTGTCCCAGAGAAAACAAGTGATTACGGTAAACACCTTGGTCCAAAACATGTATGGCCCACACAGAGATCATCTTGCCAACTCATCAGCCTCAACCGAATGATCTCAATGTACCAGTTATCTCATAGACGCCAATGTTACAGAAAAGACTGTTTAAAGGAATGTGATTGTCTTTAACATAAGCTATTGATAGCATAGGTGGATCAAAGCATGGAAGGTCTAATAATTACAGAATTAACTAAACTGACACAGAAGAAAGTGAAAAATGTATCCTAGGATAGCTTCTATATTCAGGGTTTTCACTTTTTTAAAGGCTGGAATTAAATATAAATTTTGTATCTTGCTTTATACTCTCTCATAAGCATTTTTTCATATTAGATAATCTTTACAGATAATTTAAAGTTAGCATAATATTCCGGTCAAAAGGACTTACTATAATCAATCATTTTCCTATTGACATAGAGATTTTGGACATAGAGATTTTGTCCAATTTTTTGCCACTGGAACATTTTTGTGCATTAAGTTTTTTTTCTGTGTTTAATCTGACTTAAGATAAATTCTCAAAGGTACAATTATTAGGTTAAAAAAATGAACACTTTTAAAACGTAAGAGAAAGAATCCTTTATATCCAGAATGAGTCCTTCTTTTTTGTTTTCAAACAATATATGGGTAGAATTAAGAGAGTAGGCCTTTGGAAGTCCCTTGCATATTACTCAGGCCAATTATACAGTATAAATATGCAAAACTCAAATAGAACAAATAATACTCTTAATTATGAATGTCTGCAAAACTCTATTTTAAATAAAAGATATCGACCTAAATAAAGTACCCAATATTTAAGCTCCCTTTTTAGCAAGGAAGAAGAAAATCTCAATTCATGTATCAGAAGGTGGCTGCTGACCTGCCCTGGCTGAACTTCTTCAAGAAGAAGCTACTTAGTTAATCATCTAGGAGCACCAAGAACGGCCAAAAAAAAAAAAATAGGCAAAACAGAACAAACATAACTTTTGACTGACTTACATCTTAGTTATAACCAAAAATCAAACATCTCTATTTCCATATGGCCCTTTACATAAAAACATTTTGAACCACTAAAAACCAAGACTAGATTAAGAAACAAACAATAGTGACCATAGAGTGTTTTAATCTATAACGGATTATATTTTTGCCATAAGAGCCATATTATTTATTTGATATTTCAAATAACTACAGGAGCTAAAACTACATTGTTCTCTTGAACTGAAGCAGAGTCTGCACTTTAAGGAGAGCCCTATGCTTACCTGTGTCGGCAGAAGACTCCAGTTTTGCCTACTCCGGATCTGACGGTCCACTAGGTCACCGTCGCATATGCTATCTGCCGCTCTGCTTAAAAGCATCAAGTGCTTTTTCATGTCACCCCTGCAGAATAAAAACCAGTCTGCATTATACCACTGTCCACAGTGCACACCCGTCCCTCTCGATTATTTGGCCTTCCCAATGCTGGTAGGGAACTAAGTCCACCCCTCACTAGCTCTGAACACTCACCCTGCAGCTACAGGCTTCACATGTAAGTAGTTCTCCTGGACAAAGAGGGGCGCTATTGAATAATCATGAAAAAAGAGATCTGATTTGTCCACAAGTGACATGTGAGCAGTCTCCTCTCCAGTTGCAAACACTTTCCGGGCTACATCAAATGGGCCCTAAAAACAAAGGAACAGACGCTGACAAAACCAAATGCTGGCAAAGATGTGGAGCAAGAGGAACTCTCATTGCTGGTTGGAACATAAAACTGTACAGTCAGTTTGGAAGTATGGAAGGCAGTTAGAAAGTTTCTTACAAAACTGACGTACCCTTACCCCGCTATCTAGTAGTAGTGCTCCTTGATATTTACTCGAATGAATTAAAAACTTATATCACACAAAAAACCTGCACATGGATGTTTACAGCAGCTTTATTCATAACTGCCAAAACTTGGAAGCAACCAAGCTGACCTTCAGTAGGAGCACGGATAAACTATAGTGCATCCAGGTAAAGGAATATTATTCAGCACTAAATGAGCTATCAAGCCATGGAGAAACTGTAAATGCATATTATTAAGTGAAAGGAGCCAATCTGAAAAGGCTACATACTGTATGATTCCAACTATATAACATGTCAAAAAGGTGAAACTTTGGAGATAGTAAAAAGATTAGTGACTGCCAAAGGATGGGGGAAAGGAGGGATGAATAGGAAGAACACAGAGGATTTTTAGAGCTGTGAAACTCTTCTATATGTTACAATGGTAGATACACATCATTGTACATTTGTCAAAACACATAAAATGTGCACCACTGAGAGTGAGCCTAAAATGTAAACTACAGACTTTGGGTGATAATGATGTATCAATGGAGGTTCATCGAGTGCGACAGATCTACCACTCTGTGGGGGATGCTGATAGTGGATGTTGTTGTGAATCTATAATTGCCCTTAAAAAATGTATTAATTTAAAAAAAATGAGAAGGAAAAACGACTACTTAATCATTGTTCTAACCGTAATAGATCCTGACTAGTGACTAGATGAAATAGAACACAGAGATAATTGATAAGACTTCTAGTTTCAGAGAGGTTAATAAATCATAAACCATTTAAAACAGATTATTCTGAGCATTTCTAAAACCATTAAAAACATAAATTAAATCCATACATAAAGGACCCTGAAAAAGCCATTTTATAATTCCTGAAGCATGTATAATTTAAAACTTCTCAAAATTTACAATACACATTAATAGTTTTTGAGGAAAAATTCATTTGAATTACAGACACTTTTAACAGCGGTCTCTATCTATTATAAATATCCATAGGTTCTACAGGTGTGTCAAGGAACTATAGAACCAGAGTTAACTAAGAAGTGGAAATTTATTTTACCAGTTTGATATCCTTTTTGGCTCTATGAGAATCAGCCTTGGCCTGGTCATAGGTTAGCGCCTTACTTCGTGCACACCACATACTCAGATTGTGTAAAACCTGAAAAGATCAAAGGCAAGACACTGACAAGATGGGAAAATACCTCTGGTCCCCCAACCCAAAAGTCTGATGGCGTTAACTTAAAAGCATCATCAACTGTAACATAATATATATTTAATTTACCTGTCTGATATCTTGATTGGCTCCCAAAATTATTTCATTCATAGCTGGAGGAGGAATCTTTAAACCCTCTTTAAATGCAATAGACATCATCGCACCCTAAAAATAACCAAGGAGAATCTTCAATAATGTTTTTAACTTGCCAGATATTTAAAAATACTTTTAAAATTGACCCCTAAATAAATAGGATAGTGCGATGGAAAAAAGAATTCCAAACATCATACCTTTATCTGTTCAACCCGAGGTCTTTGAAAACGAAGGTCAAAACAATAATGAACCAAAGAGCGAATCTTGGGATGATTTCTATCGTTGCACATACAAATAATGGGAATTTTTGTATGTTTTATCAGGCCAATTAATTCCTGAAATGCAAATTTGCAACAACCAAATAATTACTTAAAAAACCCAAACACCACACAATGTATGTATTTTTGGTTTTAAAAACCTACTCAGCAACATGCCTTAATTACTATAAATGTCACAACATGATAATTAGTTCTTTGTATAAAAAAAAAAATCAACAATAAAACTGCAAAAATGCAATGCTCTCATTACCTGAATTCCTCCCCTGTCTTCCGTGCCCGCCATGCCATCCACTTCATCCATGATGAGAGCGTGTTTCGTGCTTACTGAATGGGCTGCTCCACCTGACCCATGTTGAGGAGCCATGGGATGGAACAGAAACAAAATAACAGCTGTTCAAACACTGCTACTTTATAAAAAAAATAATATAAATAATTTTAAACTGTTAATGTAGGTCCATGGTACTAAATTCAAAAGTTACAAGAGTGTGTGCAGTGAGAAAAAATTCTCTCTTCCATCCCTGCCACCTAGGGTACCCAGTTATCCTTTCCACAGGCAAAGAGTATGAACAGACTCTTGTCTATCTTTTCATAGGTATTTTATATATACTAAAAATGTGTGCATAAAAATATACCCCTTGGTTTGGTCATTTAATATATTTTTGTGATCTGTTCCTTATCTGTAGATATAGAACACATCATTTTCAAGGCTGTTTAATGTTCCATTTTACATACGTATCATAGTTTAATCTCTATTAATAAAATGTGGAAATGCTTCCAATCTTTTGCTATTATAAATCACATTAAGAGAATATCCATATATATGCCATTTTACATATATACAAGTATTAACAATTAACCCAGGAACTGGAATTTCTGGGTTGAAGGATCTGGGTAACTTAACTTTGAGAAATACTGCCAGATTGCTCTCCAGAGCTGTACCAATTTACAGCCCCACCAGCCATGTATAACTGTGACGTTCTCTGAACAACTTCTTTTTAACAATAATTTTCTACCAACGAGTACCAAGAATTCAGGTGACCATGCAATATGCCAAAGGTTCTAAAACATACACCATTTAGTCTGCAATTTGGGCATCTTATTGTCCCCATAAGCTCTGGCCATACCAGACCACTAGCTACAAACTCAACACAGTGGTACTTTCGCACTGTCTTTTCTCCTTCCCTACTATTCTTACTTGAAATAACCTCTTCCACCCATGAACCATTCTATTTCTCATTCTTCAAGGCCCTTCAAACAAATGTCACCCTTTTATTGGTAGTTTTTCCCAACACCCCAAATGGAATCACTTCTTCGTATACAGGCCTCTATCATTTCACTGATCATGCTGCATTACAGTTATTTTTCTACCCCTCCTCACAGGATTCACCTGTGAATATGCTAAAATCATACGCAAAGTACATAAATATACCCATATACGCGTTTTTATCACATTCTCGGAAACCTCTAAGACCTTAAGAAAAAAAAGGTACCTATCGTCCTCTAAGAGTTACACTGGAGGCTTTTCTTATTCTCTCATTAGTCCCAGGGTTTAGAGGGTGTTTGACACATAGTAGTGTTCATTACTGGCTATGGAACATTCAAATGAACTTGTTTTTCTCACATAACCAAAGAAAACAATTCAAAAGGCCACATACTTGAATAAAAGCCTCTGATGCTGGTATTATTAAGTGACTCAGCAACAATCTCCTTCAAACTGTTCTTACTCCGAGTATCACTTGCATTCAGTTCCACGTAGCTATATCCCAATTCCTAATCGAAATATTGGAAACCATTACTATCACAATGTAAATTATTAACGCCCCCCCACCCAAAATAAAAAGAAAGTTAAGGAAGAAAAAGGGTAGCAAAATCACATAAGGAATCATAGGAAAATGATAAAGTATTCTAACAGACAATAAAGTTAACTATAATATGCCTCACAATAAGACATTTTAAAAATATCATACACATGCTTACCAAATACACATAAATACATACACACAAGTTTGGTTTTAAAACCTTAGCTGATAAATCACTAACCTGGAAGAATATATTTGAGTAAGTAATTTTACTCAGTTTACTACTTAAAGTCCTGAAAAGAATTAAATATAACCATGTCAAGATTTAATTACATTATTATAAGATACCAAAATGTAATTCTTGACACTTCGAGATAAATAATAAAGTTAAATCATTCTTTGTCAAACTATCCCAACATATAATCTTCCTATCAAATAACGATAAATCAAGTTATTCTCATTCATTTACCCCAATTGATCATTATATTGATCATAAGGCATTATAAAATGCCTTAATTGAATTCCCCCTCAAATTAATGACAATAAAGGGAGCAAAGAATTATGACTGTTAACAGTACGCATATTTAGTATAGACAATTCTTACAGGGTATATATGTGTCTAATAAGGGTCTATATTGTCTATAAAATAATGCACCCAAGGACTTAGTACGTCGCCTGGTACACAGGCAGATATTACCTACAATTAGTTATAAATATTAAAAAAAGAATGAAAATGACAGATATCCCCCAAACCCCAAAGCAAATTCTAATGATTTGATTTCAGAAAAGTATATACACAACAGGTTAAAAAATATACATACCACATACATAACCACACACACGCGTATCTCCTACACATGCCCACTCCTATGTTCCCTTTCCAACTGCAGCACAACAGAACACCCACCTGACAGACCAGAGAGGCTGTGGTTGTTTTGCCAACACCTGGAGGGCCTGAGAGCAATGCTGCTTTAAAACTAGAGCCATCATCTTTGCCGGCAAATTTACCAAACTTTGCTGCAAGGAAGAAAGAAGTTTGTGCGCAAACTTAGCACTGAGTCCTTCAGTTTAACTGTTCTAGATTTGCAGAATGTTTCCTACCAAATATAAACAATAGTTTCCAAAACACTTAGTAAAATTCTACTCCCTATATCACTTCAAACCCAAAACTAAAACTCATTAACTTTAAAACCCTGATTTGAAACAATAATTTTATGACTACCTTTCCTACAGAAGCACAGGTCATGGAGCAGACTGGGTGCCAATCCTAACTCTCGCTATCCTGACCCCAGCACTCATCAGCTTGGAGAACTTCAGAAGTGACTTAACTCCTCTGGCCCATTGTCTCCTTTGCAAAATGAGGGGAACAATAAGAATGTGCCTGGTAGGGACGCAGTGAGGATGAATGTGCTGAGCACAGAGCCCGGCATCTCAATGTATGTTAACGAGCACGGTCATGATCACAAAATGAAAAAATGAATTAAAGATGTGTCTGCAAAATCTTGCACAGCTCAACTCTAGAGCATTCTGCCTGCCTTTATCACATGGGTGCCTGGCACATAAAGGGTGCTCAGTACATACATACAGACTGACAGTGTTGAATGTACTGTAGGTATATGGGAGAAGGGACTATAGCTCACTTGAAGCCTTCAAGTATTCTCCAGGCACACGAAGCACTTATCTTCCCTTTTAGGGCAGATTTTATGTAGTTTTGAAAAAAGAGACTCAACTTAAATTTAACCCTGTATCATTACAATCATATTATCTGTCATAAATAAAATAAACTGGCACCATCAGCCAATGTCTAGTGGCCATCTAAACATTAATAACCCAGTCATTGCCTTGGAAATTCACTGTGATGCTCATTAAATTTTCCTTTATTTCTTACACAATATCCCCAAAGGCAGCAGCTGAAGCGCAAGAAACTACTACCGACATTTGTGATCTGAAACCTCCAGAAGTATTTTGGACATTAAATATATACTGCAGGTGTTACTATTCCATAACAAATACGTGGTGAAGAAGCACAGAAACTAGAGAAGCTCAGGACCCCCAGGCCTCCCGTAAGCAATATGCTACCGGGGTTTTTAGGCTGCCTAACCTGTAAGCGTGCCTCAGCTTTTTATTGGCACCTTTCTCACAATCTCTTTGGCGTTCTCAGCAGCCTTGCTCTCCCATGTCTTCAGGCCTTGGTACATGTACTCTCTCCCACTCAACACTCACCGCTCCCTTCACCTAGCCAACTCCTACTTGGTTTCCAAGTCTTAGCGTAGATGTCCCTTCCTCCAGGGATGGGAGCACAGACATCCCCATTCCTGACCACACACCTCCACCCCCTTAACATCTAAATTTACCCCTATAATAGTACCTAGCACATTACATTTTAATTGCTGGTTCATATATGTCTCCTCCACTGACTGAGCTCTAGGGGACTGTGTTTTGCTCACAACAGTACCTCTGGGGTCTAGTATAGCACCTGGGCTTAGAGCAGGCTCAGTAAATGCTTGCTGAGAGATGAATGAACTAACCATTAGACTTCCTCACGTATGAGCAACTAACTGAGCAATAACATGGTGACAGACACACACAAAAATGAATGAAGCCGGAAAATCACCGTGTTTCTTATCTTCAGATGGTCTCTTGTGCCAGTTTTGGAGCCAGCGTAGAAGTTTGTTGGCACAGCTCTGGTCACCTTGCTGTCCAATTATGGTCTTGAGTGAGGTTGGCTTATATTTATCAACCCAGAGCAAATTTTCCACTTTGTTTTCACTGCTGTCATCAGCCCAATTCCTAGCCCAGCTGTTACCGCCTGTGTCCTCAGCCTCCTGCTCCTTGAAGTCCAGGCCTCTCCGAAACACACTTGTTTCCTTTTTTACTGAATTTAGAGAGCTGCCCCTTTTGGGAGTCAGTCTGCTCCTTTTGGATTCTGACTCCTTCTTGGTTGGACTAATTTTTCTTTTTCCTTGTTCATTTTTTTGTGGTGTTCTTTGCAATCTGGACTTTCCTTTATTCATCTTAAAAATGGGAAAAGTGAGGAAAAAAGAAACCTGGTGAGATAAAGAATTTCTACCCTGATAAATGTACCCTAGAGGGCAACCTGAGATATCCAAGCAAACTCCCCAACCTGGGTTTGCTTCTTCACAATGGCCCTGCTGTTTGTGGAAATCACCACCTTCCAAACTTTAAAAAATTAACAACAAACACTGAAAACCGCCCAAATGCAAATTTTTAAAGTGAGAACATAGCTTTTAAAATAATAAGTAATCTATTATCAGTTTGAAAAAAACAAGGTAAAGGATTAAGAGACTTTGTATCAGTTTTCTAACTAGTTAAAAGTTAATGCTTCCAATAACTATGCATGGTGTCAGGTGGGCACCAGACTTAGCAGAAGAGTCACTTGTAAGTTATGTAAATGTCTAACCAATGTGCTGTACACCTGAAATTAAGATAACATTGAATGTCAACTGTAATTGAAAAATTTAAAAAAAATTTTTTTAAGTTAATGCCTCCACAAAAACTTGTACACAAATGTTCACAGCAACATTATAAATATATATACAATTATTATACCCCAAAAAAACAGTAACAACCTAAATGTCCACCAACTGATAAGCAGATAAACAAAATGTGGCCTATCCACACAATGGAATATTAATCACCAAAAAAAGGAGTGCAGTAGTGGTATATGCTTCAAAGTAGGTAAACCTTGAAAACATTATGCTAAGTGGAAGGAGCTGGACACAAAGGGCTACGTATTGCATGATTCCTTTAAATGTCCAGAACAGGCAAATCCATAGACACTAAGTATAGCAGTGGTTGCCAAGGGGCGGATATGAGGACTGACTGCTCATGGGTACAGGATTCCTTTAGGGAGTGATGACAGTGTTCTGAAAATAGATAGTGGTGATGGTTGCACAGTCTCGTGAATATTCTAAAACCACTGATTTATATACTTTAAAAGGGTGGGTTTTGTGGTATGTGAATAATATCTAAATAATAAATTTTGTTGTGTGTGAATAATAATTAAAAAAATTTGTGCCTCTTTACCAGTGAGTGGATGCTAAAATTAGTGGGTGAATATCTTAGGACAAACAAGAAATGAGCATAGTCCTAAAGTATTTCTCTAAGATATTTATCAATTACAAAGGGAAAAATAGTCACTTCGCTAGTGGAGAAACTTGGCAGACATCGACTTACTCAAGTAATCGAGGCTAATATCTCTAATAATAAGAGATTATCAACATCATGTACACCTGCTATATGAGGACACAATATTGCTTCTGTGGTATTCTTACTAAAAATGCATAACCTCAAGCTCATCATAAGAAAACATCAAAGAAACCCGAACTGAGAGCCATTCTACAAAACAACTGACTAGTACTCATCAAAAGTGTCAAGGTCATAAAAAGACAAGAAAAAAATGAAGGAACTGTCATAGACTAGAGGAGACTAAGACACAACTAAATGCAGTGTGGGATCCAAGATTAGAAAAAGAACAATGGGAGGAAAACCGAAGTTTGAATAATATGTGTAGTTTAGTTAGCCATATGGTCTCAGCGTTAATTTCCTGATTTTAGTAACTGTGCTATGGTCACATAAGTTGCTAACATTAAGGAACGCTGGGTGAAGGGCCAATCCAAATCATTACCCAAGATATTTCTAACTGTAATCAACAGGCAGACCACCTGGACAACAGAGCTGGGAATTAAACTTGGGCTACTGGCATCCCTGTGTCCTGCACTTGGAAAAGACCTGTATATAATGAGAATGAATGAAGCTAACACTAGAAGCAGAGAGACAGAAACTTAAAGAGTCCTGAAAGCACTGAAATCTCTAGATCCAGTAATTCCTATTCCAGACCCACCCTGCCCATAGTTTAGTTATGTGTGCCAACATTTTTCCCTTTTGGCTAAAGCTGATATGGGCTGGGTTTCTGTCACAACTGAAAAAGTCCTTCTATTGTTCTAACTGAAAATTAAGTCATTATGCTAATACCTATAATGTGTCCTGTAAAGAACTCTTAGTCAATAACCTTTGCACAAAATCATTGTAAAATATGGAAAATATGGAAAGTTGAATACGTAGATATGGTAAATGCAATACACTGTCCTCTCCCTCTCTCCTCATATTTCTTTGTGGAAGGTAAGGAAATACACTGAACAAGATATCTGGCAGCAGAGTCTTCCAGCTCAAAAGGAAATAGATAGGTTCATATGCAGTAGAAGAAGTTAATCTTTATTTAGCCAACAGGCCTATTGCCACCCAAGAAATGTCTAAGAAACAGGAAAGTTGCTATATGCCAACTTACATAAATCGAGTTCATTTTATACAAACCTCAGCTTCAACTGCTATTTCATATTTGGACTTCTTGCCTGGCATAGTTCGAATCAGATCCAATAGGCCATCTTCATCAATAATTTTTGTCCCCAAAGCTGCTGCCTATTGATCAAAAATGTAAATCACTAAAACCATATTTTAACCATTACTTTCTGTAAAATATATATATATGATTCTAGGACATCTTAATAGATGAAAGACCACATGTGTAAATTAGATAATACTGGAATATTTTTTAAAAACATATTCATAACAAAAAAGTACCATTAAAAAGAAAGAAATGACAGAAAGAATAGTAAGCTGGCACCTGAGGTGTCACATTACCACTTTTCTGAATTACTTTACCTTTTCCTCTCCCCTAGAAAAGGCAAAGTCACTAGGGCCTAAGTTCAGCTCTTCATTCCCTCTCCCAGCATCACTCATCTGGCAGACATTCTCTCCCACCCTCTTCCCTGCTAACGGAGCTCCAATCTGTCCATCTCCAAGTGATAAATTATGATCGCTCTCGGGCAAGCACGAAAGTCCTCACTTATATCACTAACTGGCCACGTGACAGCTCTGAGCAATGAAACTTAAGTGAAATTCTATAAGAGGTGTTTCTAGGAAAACTTGTAAGGCCAGTGACGGCTAGTATGAAATCTTACCCCTTCTCCCTTTTTTCTGCCTTGAATGTGCACCTGAATGCCTAGAGCTGCAGCCACCTCGCAACACAAGGCAACATGCACAAAGACTAAAGCTAACACATAAGGACGACAGAGGTAGAGAATGGAACTAGCCTAGTTACATTACTGGGCTGCTGAGCCATGCCCAGGAACTGCCTACCTTTGGAATTCTTGTTAGGTAAGGAAAGAAGTAGTTATTTGTTTGAACCAAGGTTAGTATTCTGTTACTTGGAGCTAAACACAATCCTACTGACACACCTAAGAGCTCTAATAAAAAACTTAAGATGGAGTCTACTCAAGCAGACATAGGAACACTTAAGACTAGAAGAAACAGAAAACTGCATTTGCTTCTATCTTCAAAAAAAGATTTAAATTTAAATTAGAATACTACACTGAGAAAGTCAAATAAACAGGAACTATGCTTTCAATTAGAAAACCAAAATCCTGGGATTGAAGCCAACAATATTTTTATGAAGAAAGAGTCTAGGAAGAAATTACTTTTCTGTAATTTTCTTCTCTTAATTCTGTGTAAAGGGTATTACTACAAATGGTTGTATCAAGAGCCTGCTAAGCAAGCAGGCTAATTCATTGTATTGAGAATATAGCTGCACCCACCTTATCACTCTTGGACTGTCCGCTATCACGACCCATGACAAGGTAGTTTGTTTTCTTGCTGACATTTCCAGTTACTTTTCCTCCATAACGTTCAATTAAAGACTTGGCTTCATCTCTTTCAATGGACTCCAGCACTCCTGTGATTACAAATATAAGGCCTTCCAAGCAATTTTCAGCTCCCTAAAAACCAAAATGTTCAAGCAGAGAGGAAATTACATGGTAGTTTTCCAAAGAACTATTTGGCATCAAAACTTCAGTAAGTTGATTTTTCTCATTTGACATCATAAATAGTCTCGGCATGAAAAATTTGCTGGAAATTTACAGCAAATAAGCAGAACCTGAAATTAAATCCTGAGACATTCTTATGTAGGCTAACATTGAATAAACTTATAAAGCCAGAAATGAAATATATATATTTAATATGGTTAGTGAACCTTATTATAATTATCTATTCATACTATTTTCATTTTTTAAAAAATATTTAAACTACTAGTTACCTTGTATAACTTTAAGTAAACTAGATGCAATCTTTCAATAGAAATTCTTGGTATTGTTAAGAAGGGAAAGTTTCAATTCCAAAAAGCTAAACAAGTTTGAATTCCTGCCCTTCTCTCTGTTGTTTGCCCTATGAGAGTACATTCAACAACTTGTGCATAACTTAAAGGCAAGATCATATTATCTCTCGGTTGGCAAGATAACTTCAAAACACAAAAGACACTGGCCAAAGACAGCAGGATGGAAAAGACATTTAATCTTAATTGGAACTGTGTATAGTTACAGACTTTAAAAAATTTTTGCAATGGTTCAATAACATGATACAACCAAGTAAAATGAAAATTATGCAAACCATTCCAAGTTACTTATTACTCTTTGAATAGAGAATCGAGATCGACGCAGACTTAAAACAGGCCTGAAAAGAAGCTAAACAAAATTAAAAGACTGCTGCAATACAAGTTCAACCCTTCGCCATCCAGATGAAGACCCTTTCTTAGGGGGAAAAATAAGTATGAATCTGCTTGGAGAAAAAAGGTTTGACTAACAACATCTCAAGATCCCTTAAAGCCTTATGATTCTAGGATTGAAATGATCAACTCTACAGGTACTTAAACTCCTCTCAACAAATTCAAAATAACCTTATAAAACTACACGCAAGCCCCTATCCCACACTCTAAACCTTCTATCATCTCTTGAACTATCACCCGTTATGGCTCTGAGCATCTTTTACTTATCCAATCTCAGCATTTCTAGCCTCCACTCTAAAACTCTCACTGTAGAACGACCTGATATCCTCGACCTCCTCTCCGACATTGCCCCCACTGCCTTATCTTCACTAAAACCTGAGTATTCCCTAAGGCCACCACTTTGCTTCAAGTTGTTTCAAGCAGAGGCTCTCATACATCTTGTACAAGAGGCAACACTGGTATCTTCTTCTGGAGCCCTATACAACCACTAGCCCTGTAGGCTCGTTCCCTCGCCCTCTTTATTATTGGAGGCACTAGTCCTCACATGCAGTCTGAATGCCTTCCCTTCTACCCTCTCAGAAATCTCACATTACATTTGACTATGTTTCTTTTTCTGGTGTATCTTCAATCTCTCCCTTTCTGGTAGATCTATCCCATCAGCAAAAATCATGCTTTAAAGTATCTCTTATCTTAAAAATACTCATATTTTTCCCCTAAAACCCATCTTCTATTCATTTATAGCTAAATGTCCTCTCTCTCCTTTCCCCCTTCACAACCAAACTTATCAAACATATTATCTACTTGTGCTACCTCCATTTTATCTTCTCTCACTCACTCTTCAACGCACTTCCACTAGGCTCTGCTTCCACTATTCCATTAAAACTGCTCTTGCTGAGGCGACTAAGGACCATTCATGTTATTAAATGCAATGGACAACTGTCAGTCTCCTCTTACTCAATGATCTTAAAAATATTCTCTCTTTCCTTTGCTTCTGTGACACGACCCTTATCAGACTTCGTCCTATATTTGTGGCTTCTTAGTTTCCTTTTCGGTTTTACCTTTCTGTACTTCATGAAGAAGCTAGACCTAAGGCCCTCTTCTCTTCTCATTCTGTACTGTTTCCCTTCAAACATTATCTACTTGCCAATAATGGCCAAGCTTTTACATCCCATCTTGAATTCTGTTCTGTGCTCCAGTCCTACATAGCTCTTGTCTACTCAATATCCCTGCATGGATATCTCACATACATCTAAAGCACAGTATGGCCAACAATAAACTCATTAACTCCACAAACCAGCTCCGCCTCCAGTGGCATTGGTATCCACCCAGCTACTCATGCGATAACGAGGAAATCATCCCTGATTCTCATTTTTTCTCAACTCCTCCTTCCAACGATCACCAAGTCCTATAGATTTTACCTTTTCCATTGAAACTACTTCGTTTTTCAGCGTTCACTGCTACTACCCTAGACAAGTCTCTATTATTTCTCACCACCTCTCCAAATTGATCTCCCTATATCTATTCCTGCTCACTCCGTTGCACTCTATATACTCGGCAGCCAGAGTGTTCTTTTAGAAATGCAAATCCGGTGAGGTTATTCCCCTACTTATGACTCCTTCTCTTAGGCAAAAGTCCTAAACATTAGGCCCTGCAAGATGTGGCCCTATTTACCTCTTTGCTTACTCCCATCCCTTGGTCACTATGCTCCAACTATACTCTCTTGCTTTTAATTCTTCAAACATACCATTAAGATCTCTTACTCCTCAGGGACATCACACATTCTGGTCCCTCTGCCCAAATCATGTCATCGGAGCTCCTCCACAGCTGGTTAAATCCCTTTCATTCTTCAAGTTTCCATTTATATGTCACTTATTCAACACACCCCACCCAAGGCCAGGTTCCTCAGTTATATTCCCAAAGAGCATCCTGGATTTTTCTCTAATGACACATATATCACAATTATAATTAAATAATAATTTATTTAAGGTCTCTTTCCCGAGTTAGGCCATAAGTAACATGAAGGCAAAGAGCATTAGTCTTGTAACTACTGTATGCCTCAAAGCCCAGCCCTACTGGGGATACTTGTTACTTAAAGGAAAATTTTTCTAAGTATCAAGCAATGATGCATAATATGAATAAATACCCCAAATTTGTAAAGATGGTGACCAAAGCTTTTCTGTTAATTGTAACTATGAATTTTCTGCTGCTGTCAACACGGTGAACACATCTTGGGCCCACAGGCCAAGGGCCCTGAGAGAATGGCAGGTCCTCTCACTACACTTACCTTTGGAATTTCTTTGGAGCCCAGAGCTTTGGGACCTTCTCGATTTAAGAAACTTCGATAAGCTTGATAATTAGTGCGTCTCTTTTCAGAATCTTCAGGACTTACAGACTTTAGAAACAGGTAAAGGAAATTGAACAAAGTTATAAAAAATTCATGTAAAATTAAAAAAACACACCAATAAGCATTAAGTCACTTCTGTGTTTGGTCCTGAAATTAACATTTTTAGCTACATGGGTCCTCTTCAATTTACAAATATGCGGCTTATAAACATCCCTGCATCAACACTAGTCAACCCTCTCCACTCTAAATGCACACATCTCAGGACAGATTAGAGGCATACGCCAAGTTGCCAGCCCCAAGAAAAGAAATCAAACGAGCATATTTCAAATATTCATTTAAGTTTTAAATTCTATTTCAAAATATATCCATGTGTATTTTACGGGAAAAATTATTAATTTTTCCCCAAGTAAACCCGATGACACAAGAAGCCATCCCATGTTTACCCTATGACTTTGCACACCCCTAACACAACCTAAATGGGCCTATACCCCTGGGGATATAAGCACTGCAGTCTGAGAATTCGTATAAACAGCTAACTCAAACAAGGGGCAAGCTTTACTCCAAAAACTAGCACATTCTATACGCCACCATTCTTCCTTCTAGGTTTAATCTCTCCTACTCAATTTATCTCAGGAGATCTTTACCATGTGTATGTCTCAGAAAATCATGGGGAAATTTTTCAAATTATATATCCCTGGACTCACTCCAAGTTTCTGATTCAAGAACTACTGTAAGATGGTCTCCGTTGTTTTTCCTACTTCCTATTTTACATTATTTTTAACATGTAAGCCATCTCAAATACCTTTGAGAGTAGATGAAATATTACTTCTATACAAAGAAATGATTTAGTCAACAAATAGGCAAGCTGTTTTGGTTATTAGTTAAATAGTCATTACAGGCTGGTTCTTGCCCCTAACTCTTTAATAGTGGTTCTCAGTATGGTGTGCATTCATATCATATGAGCTTAATAAAATACACCTGCTCAGACCAGATGCCTTGGGAAACCATATTTTTAACAAGCTTCGCAGGAGATCCAATGCATATCAAATTGAGAAAATTATTCATTTATAACAATTCTATGAAAAAAATAATGCTGAATTATAAACACCTTATAAAATAACTATGAAGCATATACGTTTATAAAGTCAAAATTTTCTGACCCAAATAGATTGATTTTATTAAACCGACTTTAATGTTCTTAAAACTGCTTAAGTAAAAAGTTCTCTAAATCGTTTCTATTACAACTTTGAAAAATACAGTGGAGAGTAACAATGTCACTTAAAGATTTCTTCTCCTTTAATAAAAATCGACAAGCCTCTATAAACTGAACATGTTTAGGGTACGTGATGAAAAACATTCATTCACCAGATAAATATTTAGTGAAGAAAAATCTGAGACCAAAAAGTTCATTGTTCCCTTTAGCATATTTATGAGCACTGACCACAAACCAAAAAAATGCATCTTGAAATCATCATCATTTCACTGCTCTCCACTAAGAAATGATGGTAATGAGCAGTTAGACAATATTCACTTTTAATTCGAAGGGCCTAGGAGGCTTATAGGAATTGTGCTTTCTCATTGTGATTCTAAGGTGGTTCCAAATTAGAGATGCTAAGAAACCATTCACTTCTCAAACATACATTGAAAACACAGAAAACTTTAAAAAACCATTCTACATTATTTCATGTTTTTTCCTTTGAAAATGATTTCAGTATCACGACATTGTTATACAAGGGCAAAAAGGAGCATACTCAGGCCAAATACAAATAATAATTATTTTAATTTATATAGCACTTAGTATGTACCAGGCATTGTTCTAAGTGGTTTTACATATTAACTTATTAGGTACTATTATTACCCGTATTTTACAAATGAAGAAACCAAAGCAGAGAGAGGGGTAGTAACCAGACCAAGGCTACGATCTGAAACTGACTCGAGTCTATTTCAGAGCCACCATGTTGTTACACTGCCTTTTTTGGCCTGAGAAGACCTAAATTCAAAGCTGGCTCTGCCACTTACCAGCTGGATGACATTATAAAAGTTACTTAAACTGTTTCAGTCCATTTCCTCATCTTTAAAAGTTGAATAATAAAAATAAATAACTCTCAGAGTTGTAAAGATTACATGCGATGTCATAGGTTTTAACACATCTGATACTCAATAAATATTGGCTAATCTAGCTATATCAATAATCTATGCTCTGCAACAGCATCTAAATAAGATTGTATCTTAAAAGTATATAATGACTTAAAAAGTCAGAAAAAAACTTGGGGAAAAAAAAAATCAAACACATATCAACACATAGCCCCAACATGATACACTTTTGGAAAATTTCTACCTCTTTTTTAGCTGGAGAACTTTTGGTCTTCTTAGGAGTTTTTGTCTCTTTCAATTCAATGGCATTTTCTTTTCTTTTTGAGGACATAGGCTCTGTTTCTTTAGAAGAACTCTCTCCTTTTTTTTTCAAAAGCGTCAGCTTGGAACTAGCTTTAGGAGAAGAAGTTTTTCTTATTTTGTAAGGTGATGACTTGGAATACTGCTGGGATTCTTTTGAGCTTTCATGTTTAGTTTGTTTCTTAGGACTGTAGTTCTTCCTTTCATCCAGAAATTGTTCTGTTTTCACTAGCAAGAAAAAATTATGATTGTTGTTTTTGGAAAATGATATCCCATATCAAGATTATTTTTTCATTTTTCAACTGAGTAGCATACAATATCATATGGTGATTTTATAATATCTATATTAAGATTTTAGTTCTTTGGTTTATACAACATTTATTTTTAAAACATTTGTATATTACTTCTTTGTATAACCAGTTCAAATAAAGGGATCTGTTTTTAAATATAAATTACTCATTAATCAAAATAATATGGTAGTCGTCATCTAAGAACATGGGCTTTATTTCAGAAAATCTTCAATGATCTGAAATTTACACAGAGAAAACTTACTGACTAGAATACATCACATAATTTTATTTGTAATATAATCTGAATGTCCCAAATCGTGAGATTTTAAGACTAAAAGGTACATGAACATATTTACTTATAGGGTTAAGACCATCTATACTAGCACTTTGTTATATGCCAGGACCACTAAAAAAATAAAACCTACGACAATCAGTAAGAGCTCAGGTTACCTGGACAACTGTCAGTTAACTCTATGATCTTGAAACACCTAGTTCTTTGTCTTCATATATTAAAGCTCATGTGTTCCACTACACTTGAAAATAAACATGAAGCCAGAAGTTGTAATACATTTTTCACAACAATCATACAGCAGAAGCAGATAGGCATCCTGTGCCAGCTAATATCCAAACAGCTTTAAACGTATCTAAGTAGAACATGCTCCAATATTTCTATAAAATAACGTCTACCTAACAATATAAGGCAATTATTGAATAGAATGTTTAAATAAGGTTACCATATATTTTCTTCTATAAAGATAAATGTTCCAGCTTACTTTTTTACCCCTAGTGTTACCTTTATAAGGAGATTTATGTTTTTCTGTTTTATGTAAATTGGCTTGGACAGATGAAAACGTTTCTCTCTCTTCTTGGTCCTTTCGAGCCTAAGAAAATTTTAAGTGTCAAATGTGACAAATAATAGGAAAACTATTACCACAAAATATATTGTTAAAACTGACCAAAGTTTTAATTTCAGTTTTAATTTTAAGATTAAGGGCCACTTTCCAAAGTAACAGGACAATACAATAAATTTTTACTCATTCATCTATGAGATTTCTGGGGCAAATGAATCATGTTTTATTTTTAATTTTACAGACAAGAAAACATATTGAAAGGGTATAAAAAATACAATTATAAAAAATTATCCCAGTTCTTCCCAACTTGTGAGTTTGGAAATGGAAGCCTTATTTCTGCTTCTTTCATCTTAATTCTCAAGCTGTTAACGTTATGAGGTTAAAAACTAAAATCTAAACCCAAAAGACTAAATTAAAAACAATCTAAAGTTTAAAAGAAAAAGAAGAGAGTACTTTCTCGAAAGAGAAAAAAACGTATCTATTTTCTCTCTACTGCTCCCTCAAAACTCCATTTTATAAAGAGGTCACAAATTGGGGGGTATGACACAGTATTTTTTTTAAAATAATAATAATTTGGATGTCTTTAGATGGAGTAAGGCTCTTCAAATGACAAAGTCCCCACTACCTCCTATTGTCTTACATCTGACTGCTATAAAATCTTTTAAAATAGTCGATATTGATACTGACAATATTAACAGAATGTGATTCAAAATAAATAAGTCTAATATTTTGGAGATCAAGTGCTTGAAAATAATCTTGATGATTTTAAAGATTCCAAAAACTACACTTGGTATCATTTGAGACTGTCCAAATAAAGTTAACTAATTAGAAATAGCAAAATTGTGCTTCCCAGAAAGATATTAATTATCAGTTATTAAACATTAGGTTCCATAGGAATCTTTATAAGCATTATTCTTAAAAAAGTACATAGGAACCCCTCTGTGACAGAGAGTAAGTAAAAGATGCAATTCATTGTTTTGTGAAGAAAGGTTCTGAATGGCTTTGGTTCTATCAACCTCCTTTTGGGAAGAATAAGTTTCTCAAAGAGCTTTTCCAAAAACAATTTTATAAATTAAAATAATTTAGCTTCTTTCTAGAAGAGTTACTCATGTTTATATCTCCAGAGCCTAGACTACAGAGGTATGAAAGGGAACAGATCTATACTATTTATTCAGAGTGCAAATAGCCCAGTAAAATCACCACCTTTTTGTTCTTAGGTTCTTCATCCAACATGGCTAATGTTCTAGCAAACTCTTCATCTTCATGCAATTGTCTCTCCAGCTGCAAAAAGTGTCAACAAAGTGAATTTGTTTGTGTACATGAAAATTTTTAAATGTTTGATTCATGATACTTAGAAGAAACTAGAAAACATTTTCCAGAAAGTAACTTTTGGAACTTTATGACACTTTTCCATTTAATATTGGCAGTCGAGTATCACAGGTTTGTTTAACTAAGTGTATTAGATTTCGGAAGAAATAGTTCTAGTTTTACAGGCATGGTAGATAAATTGAGCATATTTTTAAAGCCATACTTCTCACTTATAAAGTTTGAAATCTATATTTTTTTCTTAATGGTCCTAATATAACACTTATAGATCTATTATTTCTATTTATTTTAAACTCTAGAAAAAGGTTGGAAAAGAATCTCATCCTAATAGAAAAATAATAGTCTGGAGAGTACAAATAAGGGTGAATCTAAGAAATCAAGAAAATTATATATTTTCTTTGCATATGATAGTAAGATACACATAAATATAACTATCCCTTATACCATAAAACTATTTTCAACTATTAATTCGAATGTTATGATTTTTGAAAATTTAAGTCATTATACCAGAAGTTTTCCTAATATGTTGTTAGCACACATTCTAGTTAACTTTGCTGTTATTTTCAAATATTTTCACTTTCAGCAAAATGGAGCTCTTCCTGAAAGAATATATAGCAATGGAATGTTTTTCTCATTATAAACAATAAATGGTTTTATGCCCCCTGATAAAATGACCTAATGCAAATTTGTTTGAACAAAGTTATTCAAACAAATATTTGTTTGAGTCACTATGTTATTTGAACAAATGAAAGGACCTCAAAAACCACCCAATCCTACTTAGAAATTGGCATAAGTCTGACGAGAATATAGTAACCAAGCCTTCTGTTTATAAAATGTACTAACTTAAGCTACACAGAACTATAAGCACGCCAGACAAATGCACATCAATACATTCTCTGCTATCTAATATTTCTTTACCAAAAGTGAACTGCTGAACTGATAAAAATAATATGAAAATCTTCATCATAAAAAGGTCAAACTCTGAAACTCCAGTGGCCCTTAAGGATTTCTGATTGAATCTTACATCATTTTTCTAAAATTCCATACTATATAGTATGTTTACAATAAGGAGGATTCTAGATGTTTTAGAACAGGGGTCTCTAACCCCCAGGCTGTAGACTGGTATCGGTCTATGGCCTGTTAGGAAATGGGCCACACAGCAGGAGGTGAGTGGCAGGTGAGTGAGTGAAGCTTCATCTGTATTTGCAGCCGCTCCCCAGCACTAGCATCACCACCTCAGCTCTACCTCAGATAATTAGGCATTAGATTTTCATAGAAGTACTACTGGTCCCTGGTGCTAAAAAGGCTGGGGACCGCCGTTCTAAATGACAGAACAGAAGAAATTTAAATACTTCCATTAGAAATTCATTATTGGTGATTATAGCATCATTAATACAATGTTTAGTATGTAGATGGTGTTTAACATACTGTCTAAATACCAATTTACTGATTCAGATTATACACTAAATGAATAAACAAAGAGACGAAAGTGAGGGGAAAAGAGAGCAAAAAACTTATCTTAAAGGGCATAGTTAACACCCTAAAACTTCTTCATCAGAATAATAAATTACCCAAAGAAGATTCTAAAAGAATGTAATAGAAATGAAAAAATAGGGAATTGTGATAAAGTACCGCACCTGGTTTGGAATGGATGACAGGTAAGCCTTCCGTATCTGGGACAGATAAGGAGAAGTCAGGTCTCTAAAACTTACTTCATAATCTTACCTAGGCCATCTGTTCTATCTTGAGTTGTGTAAATACTTGGTCTGTAGTTTATACAATTCAGTGTAATCAAATAAGATGGAAAAAATTTTGAAAACACAAACTATAAACTGCCAAATAAAAAAAATGTGAACAAATCAGATAGATTCCAGGAGACTGGAATACTCTTCTCACACAACAATATGTCAAGCACTAAAATGAGCACTGATGTCACAATAGTTGAGTGAGACATACACAGCCCTGGAGGGCGCAATTTACAGCTTATATATAAGAAGGCACTTAAATAGCAATTAAATGTTAAAAGTAGCTACAATGGGGTATGACAGAGTATATGTAGAAGGGATTCTATTAGTTTAGGAAATATGAAAAAGTGACACTTAAGCTAATAAACAAGAAAGGTATTCAAACAGTAGGTACCACTGTCTGCAGCCTCTGACAGAGATGAATATTCCTCCTCGAAATACTTTCTTCTTTTGGCTTCCATAAAGTACCAAGCTCTCATTTCCCTACTTCACTAGCAACTCTTTTTTCTCCCTTGCTGGATCATCCTCCTCTTCCTGACCTCTAAATGTTAACAGTGCCCCAGAACTCAATCCAGAGATTTCTCAGTATTTACATTCTCTCCCTATGATTTCACTCAGTTACACAGATTTTAGATATCACCCGAATGCTAGTGATTCCCAAATACACATCTTCAGCTTAGTTAGACCTTGCCCGAGTTCCAGATTTCACTATTGAACCACCCACTCCACATCTCCATTATGAAGCCTATTTGGGCAGCTCAAGCTTAACATGTCCAACACAGAATTCTTGATTTCTCTGCACCAGTGTTCCAGTCTTAACAAATGATATCACTATTCATTCAGTTGCTCAAGCCAAAAAACATGGAATCTTCTTCTCCTTTCATACCTTTCATTCAATCTATCAGCGACAACTTGAAGGTTGCACTTTCAAAGCACACAGATGATGGCTGCTTCTCACTACCTCTTCTCATTACTACCCTGGTGCAAGCCGACGTCATCACTCACCTACCTATCTTACCATAACAGTCTCCAAACTGATCTGCTTTCGCTCTTGCCCCACCATGGTTTATTAGTCTCACGGCAGTCAGAATAATTTTCGTTTAAGATCATTAAGTCATGTCACTTATCTATTCAACACTCCAATGGCTTCTTATTTAACGGAGACTAAAATCTAAAGTCCTTACCAGCCAAGTCCTTTTGGTAGGTACTAAGAATCTTTTGTGACTTACAAGATTTGCTGCTAGCCATGTCTCCAAACTCATCAAACTCAAATACTTCTACTTCAGGATGCTTGCACTTGCTGTTCTCTGTTTAGAGAAAAACTTCCTCCAGGTAACCAGCCCCATGGCTTGCCATTATCACTTCATTTTGTACCCCAATATCACTTCCTCAGAGGGATCTTCCTAACTCTCTATTTAAAACAGTACTCATAACACTATGGATCACCCCAAAAGTATCTTTAAAATTTTTTTTTTAACTGCAATATCCTTAACACCTAGAACTGTGCCACTCACTTCAGTAAGTGCTCGACAAATATTTACTGAATGAAAATACAGGTTACCACTCAAGAGAGCGCTCCGAATTGGAAACACACTTAAGGATCATCAGCATATACATGCCAGTTAAAGCCAAAGATGTGAATGAGATTGTCCACAGTGAAAAAGAGATAGGAGCAAATTAAATTGTTTTAACCATACTGATGGTGGCGTCCATTAAAAAAAATTTAGTAAGAAATTTCTAAATAAGTTATTATCCCATTCTCATCATTTGTCTTTTATAGAAATTCAGATTTTTATATATTAGATTTTAACTTTTTTTACATACAACTCTTACAATGAAGCTCAATCCAAAATGAAATTAGAACAGTCTTGATTGTTTGCCTGGGTAGACTAAATAACAAGTCATAACATCATGTTGTTAATGATAGCTAAACAAAATGGCAATACCTCTGCATCTTCATCAAGTTGCAATTGCTTTGCGATAGCTTCATCATTTAACCTGGAATCATCTGCATTTTGTGAAGGCTATATTTCAAAGAAAATCAAGCAATATTAGCATAAACCTTTAGTTAAAAAATAAGGTGCATTTTCTTCACTGTAGCTGATTAACTACATCAATGAGAGTTGAATTTACCAGTAATGGGTTAGTCCGTCTCAGTGCACCAGCCAGAAAATCATGTTCATGGTAACCCCTTGACCACATCCAATTTCCTAATGAACAAATATTCTTCAGAGAGATGGTTCTCACTCACTTCTACTGAAATGTTCAAGAGAAGTGACAACAACCAAAACCAAACCAAAACAACAAAAACACTTGTAGACTAATGTCTTGGTTTCAGAAGTAGTTCAGAACACTGGCAAACCATATGTGAGAATGATTATATTGTCCTATGGAGGCACTAATGAAATCCACGAATACCACATAGCAGGCTTTGACTCGGGACTACTTTAACTATAATTTAATCTGTATTTTTTTTTCACTATAATTTATCTGTATTTCTGTTGCCTAAATTTCTAAGGAAAAAGGTGACTCCAACATCAGCCAAAGTAGAGAATTTCAAAAGTATCGCAGATAGGCTATGTATATGTTATGTACTTAAAACTTCATTTGGGAACAAATTTATTGTCCAATTTTGTTTGGCTGAGGTCAACTGCAAAATGAGTTTGCATTCTGAGTATTTAATTTAAATTCTAAGAATTAACAGTTTTTTCTTATGATTTAAATGATCTTTTCCCACATTCACATGTAAAAACTAAACTGCGTAATAGTGTAACTTCCTCACCCTCTAAAACAATGTCAGTACATTTTGTTCATAATCACAGGAAAATTATTTTCATTAATAAAATATGTTGACCTATTATAACATCCAAATTTCTCCTCTTATTAATTAATAACAGTGAATGGGGACAAACCATGAACATTCTTGCTTGCATGCAGAGCACTCACCTCTTTTCTTTTGCTTGCCACCATCTTCTTATCTGATCGTTGGACACTTCCAGTTCCAAAATAATCAAGCACTGATGTGGGGGTAAGTTTTATTGGTGATAGAGGCTTATTCTTGGTCTTAATGTTTTCTTCATTCTTTTTCATGTTTGTTGCTCCAAGATAACTATTTGTGGATCCTCCATTCTCTTTTGATTTAGAGGCTGCCTTCTTACACACGAAGTCATCTTCTTCGTCTTAAACGAAATATAACCAAATATTGTTCGATAAAACATCAATTCCAATTATATAAAGCAACCACTTCCACCGGCTTTATAAAAAGTACCCAGAGCTATGGAACGCTAATGATTTTTCTTCCCATCTCTTGAATTTGACAATCATCCTCATATTTACCAGTGCCAGGTCTGTAATACATTATTTCTCCCAGTTACCACAGAAACATATTTACTTACTCATGTATTCAACAAATATTTACTGGGTACCCATTATATGCCAGGCATTGACGATACAGCAGTGAATAAAAAAGACAAAATCCCTGCCCTATGGAGCTTGGGGTCTAGAAGAGGAAACAGATATAAATAAATATAGACTGTCAAGTTATAAGTGCTATGAAGAAAAGGTAAAACAGGTGGAAATAATTAAAAAGTGATGAAGGGCACTCTTTTAGATAGGGCAGTGAGGAAAAGCGTATTTGATAAGCAGCATTTGAACAGAGCCCTGAAATGAAGATACCTCAAGTAAGAAAGTTCAGGCAATGAAAACTATAAGTACAAAAAAAAGGGTTAAGTGAATGCTTGGAAGTCATTGTGACTGCAGTACAATGAAGGCAGTACGTCACAAGAGTTAAGATGACAGAGATAAGGGCCAAATCCTGTAGGACTTTCTAGATCATAAAAAGAATTTTAGGTTATATTACAGAATGGAAATCCACTAGAGAATTTTCAGCAGAATAGTGATTGATCCAACTTAAATTTCCTTTAGAGCACACACTGTCGAAGGGTAAAAGTGAATGCAAGATGACCATTTAGGAAGCTACTATAATCCCAGAAGAAACGTTGAAGGAAGTCTTGGACTAGTGTGGTATTTGCACAGGTGGTAAGACGTTGCCAGAGTCTGGCTATATATTGAAGGTGGACTATCCAGTATCTCATCAAGAGAAACATCTAATTCATCTAGGACTTTAAACACTGTTTTGTTACATTTTATCTATCTAAAAAGTTTCCGTAAGCATCTGGTTTTAAAATTCTCTCAAAGCATTCATGACAATGCTTAGATAATTAAAGATCCCAAAAAGGTACCTTAAAACAGCTTGAGTGATTTGGTCCAGCAATTCACAAGAGAAAAATCTTTTACTTTGGCCTAATAACACCTTCCCCAACCCCTCCCCACCCCAAAAAATCTAAATGCAATCATGAAGACTAGGTCACTGTGGGGGTGGGAGGGTTCACTTTATAAGCTTCGTGTGCAAGGCCACACGTGAGTGAGTCTTACTTCCTCTCAAGTATCCCCCCCTCACTCAACCACAAACATTTGCTAAGAACCTTATGTACCAGGTACTGTGTTATTCCTAGGTGGCTGCCATCTCAAACATGAAAGTATCTAAGATATGTAAAATCAAAATAGATTTAGCCTTACTTTCTAATTATCATATTTATATTAAAATTAAACTATAAACTTTACAAAGCAAAATGCTTAAAGGTTTCTGTTTACTAAATGTAAAAAGTAATCCATCATTTAAAAAGCAAGAGTGTACCAGACATCTTGAAGATGCCCATACAGTTCCCTACAAGCCCACTTTCCCCAAAACTTGCACCTCACCCCACCCCCGCAAGGGCTTCCAATAACCAAGGACATTTATTAGATGGCTCTTTACTCCTGGCCACAACCAACTGGATCAGGAGTGGGCACTTAAACAAGGTGGGGCCAATCTTACCTTAAATCAGATGGCTGAACTAACATGTATAAATTAAGATGCTAAAGGTTTATTCCTGCAATCAATAAGATGTGGCAATGACTTTCTAATAAATTTCCTGTTTGCTAACAATAAGCTAGGTTTTTTTTCTTAACCTGCAACCAAAAGATTTTAATTAAAGCATTGTTTTACTTATCTTTAACTACAGTCAATCTATTTTCAAGTTTAATTAAAGATGCATCCATACCCATAGATATAGACAACAAGCAGATGGTTGCCAATGCTGAGGTGAGTGAATGGAAATTTTAAAAAGTTTTGGAAAACTCAGATAAAAATCTAGAATTCCAGCTTATACTAGAAAGGCAGGAGCTCTGGGGGGGAAAATTCATTTATAAATCTTTCCAAGCACATCATGCTTGATATACTTACCAGATTCCAGTTCAATTCCTATGTTAACGAAAGTTGGAAGACTAGGTTGGTCACTCACATATCTACCTGTTTTCCCTACCTGGCAACCAGTCCTCCTCCATCTCTGCCAAAAGTGGAAAGGTACCTGATTCAGATGGCTTTGCAAAGGCTGGGGAACATGATCTCATTCCACTTCAGTAAAACAGCCACATGAATCACCCATAATAGTCCTAGTAACCATTGAGATGTAATCTTAAACTCCTTTCCTTTTCTCAAAAAAAACAACATAACGAATTAATGTATTATAGAAACTCAAAGAGTTTTTGTTACAATTTATGGCTATTTGAAATCCCTACACTCAGTTAAGCTGTGACATAACAAAACCAGTCACATTCTACAAACAAACTTTTCCACTTGGCAATCAAACAAATTATGCAAAGTATCCTTAAAAGATTCAAAAGAAACAACATTGCTGATATTCTAGCTTTAAGGAAAAAATAAAATAAAATAAGAAAACCATGAAACTGGAGTGCCCTAAGTATAGACAACCAATATATCTCTCCTCAGGCAGTAAGTGCAAAATTAAAAGCATATCTAGCATATATAAGATAAGGCTTCTAACCTTATCTGAGAGCTTATTAAACTTTATAATTTTTACTTGGTTTGCTTTAACTTCAACATCTGTACTTCTGGATGGGAGAGATTCTCTTATTGGAGAAAGAACAAAATTGAATTGTCTCTGTGAAATGACAGCCTTCTATTCTTTTTTCCCCACCTTTATAAATGCCCAAAACACTAACATTCCATCTCCACTACACTTAGCCATTAGCAGTATGACAGAAAATCCCAGAACTGAGTGGACCAGTGAACTACTCTGTTTTCCTGCTATAGTTCTGCCTTAATCACTCAAGAACTTCCTTGCTACCTAAAGTATTGTATCTGTCCTTAAGAATTTAATTCAGACAATATTGATCACTGACTGCTATTTGGTATAGCCTCAGAAAGGGAAACAATAGTATTGTAGATATTTGCAATCCCTAGCTTAACCCTTTCTCCAACAGTTCTGTAAATATTTTCAGATAATAGACTAGTATGAAATTTAGTGAGATCAAGAATTTCTAAGGATATCAGATTTAAAAGACTGTTGGCAAAGGTATAGAGATATGGGACCACCACATACATAACAGTCAGTGATAGTAAATTTTAAAAAATCTTTACAGGGGACAATCTTGCAACATGTATCAAAACCTTACATATGCATACCCATTAATTGGAGCCAGCAATTCCACTAAGAATTTAATAATAAACAAACACAAATGAGTACACAAAAATATATGTACAAAAATGCTTATCACAGCATTGGTTCATTCAAAAGTATGAAGAACAGACAGCAAGAAGGCAAAAAAAGATGAAGAAAAAACTAAGAGATTAACAATTTAGACAAAAAAAGACAGCCTCAAATTTAACATGGACACTGGATATAAAAATAAGTAAATATTGTTTATAAAATGGGAAAACAACCAATGTAAATATCTATTAATGTTCAACCATATAATAGAATTCTAAATAGCAATAGACAATTATAATTTATATCTATATTTACTGACATAAAGGCTTAAATGACCAAAAAAGTGACATAATGGGATGTTTAATGATTTATATCTATTATGTGTATACACACACACACACTTTTAAATTCACAAAGATTTTTAAAAATCAATAAAAAGTTAATTTTTATCTTTGAATAGGAAATTATGTATGGGTGATTTTTCATTTTTTTCTTCCTATGTTTTTTATCTGTATACTTTCTTTTTAATCTCTATCTAATATTTTACAACAAATTGACCACCTCCTAGAAACTCTCTGACCCTTTATCTTTGCGAGACAAAAAAGACTTGGCTTTGGTTTCTCCCTCCTCACCACTTTTCTTTGCATACTTCTTTCATATTGATCAGCATCTCTGCTTATTTTGTCACCAGAATCAGAGGCTTCATAGTATCTTTTTACTTAATTACTATTAATAATAGTTACCCTTATTGAGTATTATACTACATGCCATATTCTACTGTCTCTATAGTATGGCTTCTGAACCAGTTGTCTTAAAACCCCGTTAGCTCTTCATATTTCAAAGGTTATACCAATACATTATTGAGAAAGAAGGCAAAAGAGGCCAAGGATTAGAACAATGCAACTAGGAGCTTGCAAAAGTCATTTAGTAGGTGTTCCTGTGAACATTTTGTGCAAAATAATTATTTTACTATCCTAAACAATGTGTAGAGATTAATATTCCAAATAAAGTTATGGTTGTTTTTCTTTTTTAACATTTGTCCTTGTTTTCTAATGAGCCTAAATTTGTTCCTGCCTTGTCAGAAGCCAAAGGCAAAACATGTTCTCCTCTCCCCAGAAACTTGTAATTAAATAATGAAATATAAATCTAAGTCAAATTTCTGAGACCTATTTGAAAATCATGTGCAACTGAACACTCAGGATTTCTCTAGGCTATCCGTCTTTTTATAAAAATACCATTTATAGTTATTTATATACAATAAACCACATCACCAAGTAAACTAGTATTATCCAACACACAGCAGAGGAACTGCCTGGGAGAGAAGACTGCTTTGCTATTCTGTTAGATACATTCATTTATTTGAAAGAATAATGAATAAAAGAAAGAAAGTATGTGCAGGTCCATATAAAAATCTATTTATAAGCCAAGAAGAAAAAATTCTAATTCTGGAGTTCATACTGCTCAAAGTTTGGGGTTCTGATCTTTTTTCCTTTGGTCTGGACCACACAGAAAGCAAATTAATGGAAACTACGCTATGAGGGAGATCTGGTTAGAGATTAAAAGCAATTTACTTAGCAAAAACTAAAAAGGAATTTGAGTGCTTAGAGCCTTTTTCTACTAAGTTCCTT